TCGAGATGGTTTGGGGTGAGCTGGACCGCAGAGTGAAGGCAAAGGGGCCAACAAGTGCTAAACACCTCTGGGAACTCCTTCAAGACTGTTGGAAAACCATTTCAGGTGACTACCTCTTGAAGCTCATGGAGAGAATGCCAAGAGTGTGCAAAGCAGTAATCAGAGCAAAGGGTGGCTATTTTGAAGAAACTAGAATATAAAACATGTTTTCAGTTATTTCACCTTTTTTTGTTAAGTACATAACTCCACATGTGTTCATTCATAGTTTTGATGCCTTCAGTGAGAATCTACAATGTAAATAGTCATGAAAATAAAGAAAACACATTGAATGAGAAGGTGTGTCCAAACTTTTGGCCTGTACTGTATATGTGCGGTCTATATATATGTGTGGTCTCAGCAACAGGCAGCTGTTGCTGAGACCACTGTATTTTCACAATACATTTACACAATTCCACAAGCCAATGCATTGTCAACAACATGGTCATGTAAATATTTCACAGTAAAAAGCCTCATGTCAACAAAAGAGGGGATTCTTTTCACAGAAACATTGTCAGGGTGCTATAATTTTGAAACGAAAACAGGGAAGGTTGAGTAAAACATTATTTATATTTCTTCAGGTCTGTGAGTGATTTCGACATTGTAGTGAAAGGAGGTATAACACAGGCACAGAAATAAAAACAGGTTCTGTGGTGCACATGGGGAGCTCATGCAAGCAGTGCGGCCCAGCCTTAGAGCAGCCACACTGCCTGTGTGAGCAGTGCTGCTCAGCTGCAGAACATCTGTGGAATAAGAGAATTGCCTGCTCTACTTAATGAAGCACAGTTTCAGTAAAGGTAGATAGTAAAAATGGCCTTTAACTATTTGCCAAAGATATGACAAAATACAAATATTTATTTTTAACTCACCCTTTCTTAATGAAATAAATAAAATCCCTCTGACAATGTTTCTGTCGACAGAATCCCTTCAACATTCAGGTTCATAACTGAGTGAATTACTGACTTTAAATTGTGCAAATACAGCTGATAGAGTAGCAGGCAGCTCTGCAGCAGCTTTGCCTGTGTGAACACCACACAAATGCAAGCCACAGCAGTTCAGTGAGGTAGCTGTCACACATCGCTCATGCAGGCTGTGCAGCCCTGGTGTTAGGCCCTATAGAAACAATATATTAGCCTAATGTTATTCATTGTCCTCAGGCCTTCCAAAACGCACCATAGACAGACTAACCAAGAAGAGAGAGCGAGTTTATCAGTCCAGTTCTACCCAGCCCCAGTTGATTCCAAAAAGATTCTGCTATATACAGTATAAAGCTCTTACTGAGCAGGAACATGTTTATTCTGTGAACTCTTTATCATTTAAGTCATTTTAGACTCCATCTGCACTCTGACATAGTCCCCTGTTGACCTTTACATACAGTCAGGCCCACACAGAAATAACTGGGACCCTGAAAAGGTCCAGTAAGTGGAACTTCCCCAGATTTGCTTTATATTGACGCATGCATATGCTCACTCTCTCCTAGATTAGATCGGTAAATTTCTCAGTTTTTTTTTTTTTTTTTTTTACGATGTTGCATTTCTCATACCATTTTCAGAATGGAGGGTTGTCATCATGAAACATACTAAATTTTACCAAAGCAACAATAAACACATTGTTCATTTTTTGTTTTTTTAAAAAGAAATGAATACTGTGTTTATAACATAGTCCAAGGTCTCGAGAACCACAAACACAACATGGAAGTTAAAACAGTTGTTAGTGTATTAAAAAATATGGATCCATTCACTTATATCATAATATTTATAGGAATATATTTATAGAGTTTTTTTGTAAGTTAGCTAGTTCGCTTTGGAAACAAATTATTTTATTATGTGCCAGTTTTTATTTTTGTCTGCCCATATACCTACCTGCTACTTTATTATGTTTCAGTGGCTGAAGTGGAAAGTGAAGCTGCTCCGAACCGGGAAACATATGCTGTCATTACAAACCTCAGGAGGGAGTATGGTAATTAAATATAGTGGTATTTAAGTTGACCTTTAGATTAAAGTTTGCAGCAGTGCCTCTGAGCAGACATTACTTTGGTGTCACAACTATAAAATGACACTGAATTACTAGTCTGACGTTTATAAACTCTGTTTGAATGTACATTCAATTTTAGACTGTGTTACACTGCACCTGCTTCAGGAGCTGTCGGCCCCAGTGATCATTCTTTTATAGCGACCCAGACAAAAACCACACGAGAAACCCACAGACAGAAAAAGGTAGATGGGCCCCTCAGTTCATCATGTAGCAGCTCCTGTTTTGGTTGCACTTACAGTCACAGGAGAGGTCAAGTTAAGTCAAGTAGCTGCCATTTAAATAGGCAATGCATGCTTTAGGTTTATTTATAGCAGGACATCAAGTATTTTACAGTATGTCACCTTGCAGCTTCATGTGCTGTATGGGTAAGTGAATGGGTGGTCAGTATTTCATAAATACACAAAGAGGCCATTAATCAGAGCACTCATATTCTGTAGTGAATCTGTTTTCAGACATTTTTGATCAAGATACAACTGCATTGCCATAAATAACACAGACGGAAAACAAGTGTATCAGTCCAACAGATCAAATAGGGAAACAATTGTATGTGTTGTGATGAAAAATATTAATATTTTATGAAAGGAATTACATTTAAATCAAAGATTTGACTCTAAATCACAAGTCTAATAACAAGATAGTGAAGATGTTGACTTGTTTTGTCAAAGTCAAATGGTAAAGCATTCATTCATCCTTAAAATGTGGAGAACAGGGTCAAAAAGTGTCAATATTCTTTTAGGATTTGCTTTACCATCTGCCTTAACTCTGCGAAGGCAGTTGTTGAATTGATTTTCTGAGGGTGCAAGGCCAGAGGGCTTGTCATATGTTGAAAAGTGCTCTGAGGCTAATTGTGCTTTGTGATAACAGGCTTTATAAATGAAATTGAATTTTAAAAAAATGAGAAATTACAAAGGTTTAACACAAGTATTAAGTCAGTTATCGTCTGCATAAAAATGATTTTAAAACACAATGGAAGTTGTGTAACAGGGGGAAAAAAGCATTTTATAGATAAAGAAATGGGCCAATTATCAAGGCTTATTGTACCCCACATTTAAGTGACATGGACAGTCATAATAGTGGTATAATTACTGTATCTGAATTATTGTTCAAAGATGTATTCATGTATGTCTCAAGCTTTCTGAAACTGTGTCTCTGTCAGATAATGAAGAGCCCTTATTTATGCCTGTTTACCACACCTTAAGCCTGGGGACAGCTTGACACACAGTCCACTATGGAAAGGTAATATCACTTAATGCAACACTTCCCGTTCTGGAAATTTTACGCTTTTCTTTGTTTAGATTAAAATGCTATTAATAAGCTGATGGCACACTAAAATGCCCCCGCCTCCGACCAGGAAGAGTGAGTCTGTGAGACAACAAATAGGCTAGTTTGTGGATATAAACTTTCCTCCGTAACAATGGCAGACAAATGCGGACCACTGCTTCCACCTCCAGCTGCTCCAACAGGGAAATCAGTTGGCAAAAGAAATAATATTGCAGAAAAAACTAACACTATGAGAGAACTCCATGCTGCAAGAGTTAAAACTCGGGTCAACATCGGCTCTCCTTCGAGCGATGGCGAGGACTGATGCAGCTTCATCCTGAGCTAAAAAGGGACAAGATGGTAGCAGATTTTCTGTTGGCCAGCTATTTTTAGTTTGTCTGTAATGTAACATAGGCTATAACGCTATATATGATTCCTCTTCTCCTCTACTCTTGGCGTGTTACACTCACTCTCCTCTTCCGTGTATCCAATGTTACCACCTACGTCTATCATAGACGTAATGAGGACGTAATGGAGGAGGGAGGAGTAGGCCTTAGGAGGGAGGAGGAGTTGCAGGAGGGGGGGTTGGGACTTTGGAGGGAGGTGGGAGTTGATGTTCAAACTTTTTCTAAGTGCCGTGTGAAATGCAAGAAAGAGTCATGAGTATTAATATCTTAACCATCTTGACAGCTGTAGTCTTTGTCTCCTGTGTGTCTTGCAGGTTACAGAGAGCAGAGACTAATGTCTGAAGAAGGAAGGAGAGTCTATTTAAAGCTTTGTAATGCGTGCAGGTCATGTGACAACACAAAGCTGTTTTGTTACAAATTTTAATCACCTCAACTGCAGAATGAAGGTTTTATGTCTGTTTTCTAAACATAACTGTTTTCAAATTGAATGCAATTAAGTGCATTGGTTGGGGAGTTGTGTTTGTTCATGACAAAAGACAATGACATATTTATGTGCTGTTAAGAAATGTATTAAGAAAAAAAGTTAAAGATATTTAGGTTATGTACATTTGCAAAGGGAGTGCATGTGTTGATTCTTAATTACAGACAATCACTGACTTGTATGAAGTAAAAACAACCTAAAAACACATGAGTCCTCATCATCATCATCATCATCATCATCACATGAGAGTCAGAGCTTCGGCTAACTAACACCTCATTGTCTATTTTAAGAGATATGAGTCTCTAACAGTCAAACCACATTGCTCTGTCTGCTCTGTTCTCACATCTGGAGACATTGTTTAAAAGAAGAGAGCTGCTGCAGCCTTTAAATGCACTCACTGTGACTTCTGTGGTCACACTGCACGACTTATTTTGATCTAATGCTGATCTGAAAGTTGGTTTGAACATTTCTGTTGTTAACCATCATGTTGTCAAGTTTTAAGTAAGAATGTAAAAATACTGTCAACACAAGACCTTTACCAAATATAAAGCTTACCAATTGTTAAGGTTGAGAGAAGCAACAACTCAGTCACAGACAGACAGTATTCTTAGCGCTTAAAAGAGCAACGTCTCTGAACTTTCTGATTGTGTTACAGAATAAGGCAGTGGAGTTGTTACAGTGTTTGTTATAGTGTTTGGCCTGCATATGATTTCCAGTAAGATTATGGCAACAAACAGACTGAAAAACATTTCAAGTATTGTGCTGCCACTCAGTGGCACCCTTTATTATAACAACTGAGATGGTTGTGTCACTGTTATATATACACAGTTACAGTTAAATAATGTTTTTTAATCATGTCAAGGAAACAAACAGAGATACAAGTAAATTGAACCCCAAAAGAGACCAGTTTCTACTATAGACCTTTTTACACAGAGCTGACATCCCTTTTTTATGCCTCCTTTGCATTTTTACACAGAAAAAACAACAGGTACCATTCTGCTCCAGTGTGTGATTTTAGACAGCATGCCAGCATTACACAATTAAGAGGCGTGACGGACATGACATGTAAAGGATTTAAACTTGTGCGGCAGCTGTATGCAGAGCCTAAGCTGTTATGAGGATTTATACTTGGGCGGTGGTGTGTCTGTGTCACTCTGCAGTTACACCTCCAAAACACGAGTCAGTAGCGGGGTTTCTGTGAAGTGCTGTAAAATTTTGTTTATTCAAAACACACATTAAACACATATTAAACATGGCTAAATAGTGTCATTTTCAAACACAAGTACACAAATCAGCTTCACTATAACTCGCAGCATTCACAGACAAACACTTGTCTTTATCTGGACACATTTTCCCCACAAATACAACATGCTAATGTTCTTAGCACAAGCCTATGGCATTTTACATTGTATAAATTAGCCTACTGGCTAGCAGACTTCTCTCTACTCATATGAAGCCAGGGACAACAGCTACATTTAACAAAGGTAACGGCACACAATTTGGCTCCATTACAGCTCACAAGGTTCACTGACAAAACACTAAACCCTTTTTCCAAATATGACATGCTTGTTAGCAGAAGCCTATGGCATTTTACATTGTACTATAAATTAGCCTGGTGATGAATGGAGATTTCCTCTGCTCATATGAAGCCAGGATAAATCATCTGTATGTGCCCCTGTATCAAAAGGACTGGCCCTAGCTAGTGTTATTTTTTTACATTACTGTTGAGTTATTTACTTACTAACTAATATGGTTGCAAATTGTCAATCTATTTTTGCTCACTTTTATTGCTAATCTTAAATAATATATCCTTTGCCATTTTGAATGTCATATGCATGTTGTTTTGTACAACTAACAATAAATTTGTGATGGTTCTAAGTTAGAACACCGAGTCAACAAAACTTAGGTACAGGTAAATAACGCAGTAGTTACATAAAGAAATAATGCTAACAGTGGGTCAAAGCAACCCATTGCCAAGCTGGGTTAGGCAGTTTGACTTTGGCATCAGTGGGTGAACATCCCATAAACCTTGAGTATTTTGGATTTTAAATGGACTGAGAAAAAACTAGACTACTGCACCTCCTCTTGACTCTGTTTTCAGGCTTTAGAAAATCTTGCCTGTGATGGGATACTTTGGCCCCCTGTCAGCAGCTGCAGTAGCAATATATCAGCCAGTGCAAACCACAGCTCAGAGGAAGTGCCAGTAGCTCTCCTTGACACTTACTTTAAGGGATTCTGCGCTGGCTGAATTTGAGCTGCTGCAGCCGCTGACCAAAGGTATTTTCATATGTCGTTTTTTTTTTTGTTTGTTTGTTTTTTCCCTTTTCCAGATTTCTGCCTACCCCGGCTTTAATTGGTGACCCAATGGTTTCCTACCCATAAGAACTGGTTAGAGTTTACCCAGTGTTGTGCCACTGTACTAACCCAAGGATTGACCAACATTTCTTTAAAAGTGTCCATGAGTGATTCCAGCTGAGGTAATGTCTGTCACCTTTTAGTGACAGTACACTACCAACTGGACAAAGCATTTACATTATGCCAGAAAGCTCCAGTGTGAGTGTAACTCTGGGGTATGTGGACCATCATGTATAGCAATTTACAACTTCATCACCACCATGCAGTTACAATGTCTGTAGGTGATAGCAGTGTAGCAGTGGCATTCAACAACAATCCAGTTTAGAAAATAATTACTAGTGTCTCAGATTTCATGTTGTGGCTCCTTTTTCTCATCTTGGTCTCAAAATTAATCCTTGTCTTCTGCGTTCTGGAGCTGCTGCTGTCAGTTGGGTTTCCGAAACTTGAATTTACAAAGGAGAGAGAGATAGGTGAAAACACCAAATATGGAAGCAATATCTAAAAATGTCTGTAAGTAAGTAAATTCAGAGGAAACCTTATTTCTGCCCTTATACAATGACAACTTACTTTATCTAAAAAGTTCCTGGTTCCTTCCACCTGGAAAAAAGCACATATTCAAGTAATTTCATAAAATGAATAAAATTCCTTAAACACACATATTGGCTGCGAAAAAATAAAAGCTTTGCTAAACAGAAGAGAGAAAGTGGAAGAGATGATGTTTGTATGGGTTGCCGCCAGGGACATTATTCAGAATTACCTCTCACACACACATGTGAAATGCTCTTATATACACAAACAACTGAAAAATTATTTGTTCACATACACTACTGAAATGCTCTCACACACACCAGTGAAATGCTTTTACATACACACCTGAAATAGTCTCACACAAACAACTGAAACGCTCTCATGCATACAAGTAGAATGCTCTTACATACACTACTGAAATGCTTTCACACATACTCGTGAAATACTCTCACACACACTACTGAAACACTCTCACACACTACTGAGAGCATTTCAGTTTATTATATGAGAGCATTTCAGTATGATGTGTGAGAGTGTTTCAGTATATTATATGAAAGCATTTTAGTATGATGTGTGAGAGCATTTCAGTGAAAATGGAAGGTGTTTCAGTAAAACCAGAAGGGCTCCCAGTTCGAATAAAATACGCAATTCATACAGGTGAACGGCTGCGGCGTTTTAGTAGTGTATGTAATAGCGTTTCAGTAGTGTGTAAGAGAGTTTCAGTAGTGTATGTAAGAGCGTTTCAGCAGTGTGTGTGAGAGAGCGTTTCAGTAGTGTATGTAAGAGTGTTTCAGTAGTGTGTGTGAGAGTGTTTCAGTAGTGTATGTAAGAGCGTTTCAGTAGTGTGTGTGTGAGAGCATTTCAGTAGTGTATGTAAGAGTGTTTCAGTAGTGTGTGAGAGAGCGTTTCAGTAGTGTATGTAAAAGCGTTAGTGTGTGTGAGAGTGTTTCAGTAGTGTGTGTGAGAGCATTTCAGTAGTGTATGTGAACAAATAATTTTTCAGTTGTTTGTGTGGGAGTGTTTAAGTAGTGTATGTAAGAGCATTTCACATGTGTGTGTGTGTGAGAGAGGTAATTCTGGATAATGTCTCTGGCGGCACCTCATAGATGGGTTTAAGATGAAGATACGAACCTTTGTTTCCTTGATCTCTTGGTGCAGGTCCTGCAGGTTGTTCTTCAACTTGTGCTTTTTCTCCTTCAGGTTCTGCAGTTAAAGGGATGGAAAAAGAGAAAATGAGACACAAGCCAAGGCATATGTTTACTGATTATGGTGTGTGGATGAACAAAGTAAAAAAAAATTGGTATTTGGTATGTCAAGAACCATTTGTATGGCTGTTAAATTTACATACAGCTGTTGCTAACTGATCTCTGATGGTTAAATAACTCATACAGTTGTTTTGTTTTCATTTGAAAAACACAACATTTGGGTCTCCTGCAGTATTAATTCGTTAACAAAAACTATGGTGAAAATTTTTCATCAACAACCTTTTTTACATGATGAAAACAATACGACAACGAGCTATAAACAGATCTTGACAATGAAAACAACAAAATCTAGGTTTCATTTTCATTTTGGAGACATGACGATAATGTTAGTGGTGGACTATGGAACATCACCGTGAATGTAATTATCTTCAGATGCCTGATAAGCGACAGGCTGGTAAACTCTAGTAAATAGTCTGCACCAGGATGTTTCCGTTGGTGCGAGTTGTGAGCTGTAATTCAGCAGTAAATAATTAGCTGTGTGTGTCTGACTGTGGATGGTGAAGCTGCTGAATGGATTTGTGGAGTTTGTTAGTTGCAGCGGTGGCTGTTAGCAGCTAGCTCCGCTTGCAGCCAGTGGCAGCCGGACTTCACAGCTTTACCCTGCAGGACTCCACTCAGTCCGGACTGGAGAAGCTGTGTTGTGCTGTAGCTGTGCTGTAAGTAAACAGTCTAATTGCGTTTTAACCTCCAGACTAACATGTTGCAGATGAGGAAAGAATTCAGGCTTTAATCAAGTTATTTTTCTGCTTCTAGAAAGCTAATGGAAACAAAGCAATGTCTCGTTAAAAACAATCAGTTTTGTTCTTAGTTGGTCTCAAGCAGTGGTCTGAAGCTGGGCAGGTATCTCACCAATGTCATCCCCTCGTCCTCTAAGTGACAAAGTCTATGTCAAAACTATGTCACTTTAGTATATGAGGATATGATGAAGTATGGGGCTGCCAAAGTTAAACTTGGCTTCACTCTGCATGCCAAGAACAGTTTGTCAAGGCTTGTCATTTCATTGCAAGTACAAATAAGAACCTTATTCCTCTTAGCATCCAGCTGCTCCTTCAGGGTCTCCACTTCCCTCTCAGCTGCTTCCCTCCTTTGCTGCTCTTCCCTGAGCTGCTGTTTGGCATGCCACCACACAAACTGTGAGAAGAGAAAGAGTTATAGAGTTAAGTTCCTGCAATACACACGCTGACAAATATTACCAGCACAAAAAATCACTTTCCTTTCACTTTGTCCAGATTTTTTTGTTTGATTTGATACCTTATTATCATAAGCTAGTCTTGTTGTTTTATCCTCTTTGGAAACAAAACTCTTGCTTCGTCACATTAACTTATTAAACACTCACCAACCACTTTATTAGGTACTCCTGTACCTGTCATTAGGGCAAATAGCTTAGCCAATCACGTGGCAACAGCTCAATGCATTTAGTCATGTAGACATGGTGAAGACGAGCTGCTGAAGTTCAAACTGAGCATCAGAATGATGAAGAAAGGTGATTTAAGTGACTTTGAATGTGGCATGGTTGTTGGTGCCAGACGGGCTGGTCTGAGTATTTACTGGGATTTTCAGCACAACCATCTCTAGGGTTTACAGAGGATGGTCCCAAAAAGAGAAAATATCCAGTGAGCCAAAATTGTCACAGTTCATCTCTGCCTCACCACTCTGCACCTGCCTGCTTCAATCTGCCAATCAGACACACCCCTCTCATCAAGCCAACTCCACTCCCCTGTGCTCCCTGCTCTGCTCTGCTAGCTCCACACTCATTCATTGCCAGATTGTTCTCGATGCTTGCACCAGACTCTCCAGCGTTACTCTGCCTGATCTCCAGGTTAAGACACTGCTTGCCTCCGACTATCCTGCCTAAACGATCTCCTGGAAATCAACTCAGCCTTCCGTCCCCGACCACGATCCTTGCCTGTCCCTTTCTGGATTCTGCCTGTCTGCTCCCTTGGCTATCCGGTGATTACCTGATTCAGCTCTACAGAGCGAGTGTTACTCCCGTCTCCTCTGTGGCTTCCTGTAGTTCTGTGACTCTGATTATTCCTTCATTGAGTGAGTACGAGACTGAGTTTCACGGACATTACTCACCAGTTTCCTGGTTTGGTTCGGCTGAGCCTAACCTCCAATCCCCACTAGAGACTGTTAAAGGCCAGTGGCCAGAAGACAGACTGTTTTGCCTACTGCCATTGTTTCCTGGACGTGTGCTAATAAAGTTTGTTACCAACGATACCTGCCTGTCTTTGTGCTGCTATTGGGTCCAAACCAAACCCTTTACAAAAATGCCTTGTTGATGCCAGAGGTCAGAGGAGAATAGCCAGACTGGTTCAAGATGATACAAAGGCAACAGGAAGTCAAATATGCACTGGTTCCAACCAAGGTGTGCAGAAGACCATCTCTGAAGCAACAACACCTTGTCCAACCTTGAAGCAGATGGGCTACAGCAGCAGAAGACCACACCAGGTGCCACTCCTGTCAGCTAACAACAGGAAACTGAGGCTACAATTCACACGGGTTTTCTCACCAAAACTGGACAATAGAAGATTGGAAAAACCACATTAAGATGGAAGCATGGATCCATCCTGCCTTGTATCAACGCTTCAGGCTGCTGCTGATGGTGTAATGGTGTGGGGGAGATTTTCTTAGTACCAACTGAGCATGGTTTAAACACCACAGCCTACCTGAGTATTGTTGCTGAGCGTGTCCATCCCTTTATGACCACAGTGTACCCATCTTCTGATGGCTACTTCCAGCAGGATAACGCACCATGTCACAAAGCTCACATCATCTCAAACATGACAATGAGTTCACTGTACTCCAATGGCCTCCACAGTCACCAGATCTCAGTCCAATAGAGCACCTTTGGGATGTGCTGGAACGGGAGATTCTCATCATGGATGTGCAGCCGACAAATCTGCAGCAACTGTGAGATGTCATCATGTCAATATGGACCAACATCTCTGAGGAATGTTTCCAGCACCTTGTTGAGTCTATGACACCAAGAATTTACAAGGGGGTCCAACCTGGCAGTAGCAAGGTGTACCTAATAAAGTGGCTGGTGAGCTCTTGCTCAGATCAGACTTTACTTTCTCTTCTTCCATGAGCTGCTATTGTTTCTCTCTATCTCTACTGGAAATGAATGTCCTCTTTCTTAACTTGCCTTTTTAGGTGTTTCTTTTCTGTCTCCCTTTTCCAAAGTGTCGAAGAGCGTCTCTATCTCCGTTAATGTTTCAGAAAGAGGTTTGTTGGATTGGTTCTTCTTCTTTTCTCCTCCCTCAATTTTATCTGCCTATTTTTTCTCACTCTCTGTGTAAAAACTTAAAGCATGGAAGTTACTGCAAGTAGGACGTTGAGCTTTCAGAAGGTACGGCAGAATGTGAGGCATTGCAGTCTAATTACATTGCTCTTTCACCACCAATAAAATACCAAAATACTGTAAAACTTAGATTAAAAGTTTAGTTCCGATAAAACACCCAATCCCTTTTCCTAGCCTGGTGTGACTTCACATTTTGACAAACAAAAGCCTGTCTCAATTAGAGGCCTGGTCTGGTTGCCAAGCAGTTCTGTGTTATAGAAGTTCTTTGGATGTACAAAAGTGGGTTTTGGGCTTCCTACTTGAGCTAATGTTAGATAGCTCGCACATAAAAATGTTAAAACTTTTGTGAGTATGGAGATGCTGCACATGGTCAGCTCAGATAGATTCTCCACAGTAACATCCTTTAGTTCATGTTACTGAAACCATGAGCACCAGAGACAACTGTATCGTAATTCATTCAGATTTACTGGCATTAAGAAAAAGAAGTGGTGACTCCCTTCTTCTGAAGCTGTCAAGTTTTACAGTATGTAAACCAATGAAATGTAATTTAAAAAATACAATTTTAATATAACTGTTATATACAAGGAGCTTTTTACTTACCTTTTTTATGTTGTCTCCACTTGAACACAACAAAGACAACTGCGGCAATAGATAAGAGGGAAACAGCAGGACATGATGGGACCATGAAGAAATCAGCTGAAATCATAAAAAACTCTGTTATTCAGGCATTGTATACGTCTTCAAACCATGGACACATTATGTTTGTATGTTTTCTACGAATAAGTGTCTCTTAAGTGACGTAGTTCCGATTACATGTGTGACCTGACTTTGACATAAGGAGGTGGGGAGGGGGGGTTGGTCGATGGCGTGATACCTTGGCGAGACACCTGCCAAGCTGTAGATCACTATTCAGAACCAACAAATGGCAAAACTAGTTTTTCATTAGCGACACATCAAGGCATGTCCAGCTGCATTTGTGTCATCAAACCTGGGGAATTTTTTAGCGCCACATATATTAATCAGAAAAGTGAGCTCTCAACTAAGAAAATCCAAAAATGCTTTATTAATTTAAATATAGCATGTGATTATTTGATCACTTGTAATTTGTAATATGGTATTAGGTTATAACTGTTAGTTCCTGTCTACATAGAGTCACCTAGATTATTTAGAATTGTTATTTATTAGCAGTAACCCTAAAAAAAATACAGGAAAAGTAATAATCTAATAGTTTTTGGGAATGTAGTAATGTCTGGGACAAAATTACTAACATAAACCTTCAATCAGTTTTCATTATGTTGTTTAAATGCTTTGAGCAGATCTTTGTAGCATCCATGTTGTTTCCACATAAAAACGAAAAGCTCATGAATACACCAAAATTGGAATAACTCAGGAAATGGGACTATCCGAGATACACGTGAATGAACCTGGTCAGGGAATTAACAAAAACATGAAAATGTGTTGACATGCCTTCAGTTAATTATGCAACCACACTCGACTGCTATATGCGTCACCCTAGATAATGTTTCTACCTGGAATCTGGATGTGTGTCTCTCTGGTCTGGTTGATGTTCCTCTGTTGGACTCTACAGGTGAAGCTGTTGCTGTGTCTCTTCTCCACAGTCACTCTGCTGCTGACAGTATAGAGGTCATCAGGACCTCTGACTGTCACTGTAGGTCCAGCAGAGAGGAGCTTTCCCTCACCGTCCAGCCACAACACCTCAGGCTCTGGATACCAGCCTGCAGACTCACACTGTAACACCACTCCCCCCTTGTCTCTGTCGATCCCTGCTAAACTGATGACAGGTGAGGAGATGGCACCCGGTGATGACAGAGACCACACATGATTTTGCATACCTGCTTCAGGGTAGATCACCGTTGCAGAACAGACAATCTAGATCCTTCTGCCAAATGAGCATCAATGTTCCCGTCCTATTCCAATCAAAGCATTTGTATTTTCCTGTTTTAGAGGGTTTCACTCTGAATATTTTAAGTCAGACATTTCCGGTTTGATCTGATCCCCAAACAGAACCATGCAGTTTTTATTTGAATTCGCTAATGCAAAATAAGGTGTCCCTTCTGGCGAACATGGATGTACCTTTGGACTAGAACAAGTCTGGTCCACTCTACTGTCATGGCGTTGGTCGCAGGTTGAAAACGACATGGTAGAACGACATCACCGCCCGCCAAGGCTATGATTGGTTGAGGTGAACAAATCAGCTGAGACCGCTCTGCAAAAGGCTAAACAACAGAGTGATGACTGTTTTTCTAGCTGACTGTTTTTTTACTCTACAAAGTAGTATGTGGTTTGCACTGATTTGTCTTTAACATTGTGTGGTTTCTCAATGACCTTTGCATTATGTTTAGTTTTATTTATTTTGAATGACTAAACAGTAAGACACAAAAGCTTATATTATGCAAGTATATTAATCTATAGTGTGTCTGTTTACCTGTGTTAAGGGGGAGACTGTGGAGCACAAACAGCCAGATGCCAAAGCAGCTGCACGGACTCATTTTCTTCTGTGGACCAATGTGGAGTACTAACAGGCTGGTGAGAAACATCATCAATTTAAGATTAAATTAATTCTGCACGTCACAAAGTAACGCTGCAGAGCAGCTTCACATGTTTTCCATTTCCTTGTCAGTTTTTGTATCACTGGCTTTTAAAGTTAAAAAGTAAAAATATAAAAGACCAAAAATATCTTTTAAACAATTTTTCAAAGTTACAGCCAAGAGGCCACACCTAATCCTAATGGTTATTTTTGCATTTCCAATCAAAAGTTGGGGATGAAACCAACAGAACCGCTCAGTTCCGTCCTATGTTTTCGTCACCCCTCTGGAGCTAGAAACACTGCAGTCTGTTTATTCATCCAGAGAGAATCATGACTCTTGCTCTTCATGGACTCAAAGTTCACACAATTCTGAATACTAGTCACCTGTGGAAAGTCCTGTGTCTTGTGACTCATCCACCAATCCAACAGCTGTATTTTCTTCTGTCAGTGGAATTGTCAAGTCAGCAGCGTGGTTAGTTTGCATAAGTGTCACAAACGTTGGGACAGAGTGTCTTTCATGAATTGTCTTCTGTGACTTTTTCTGGTTCTTTTCACTGTACATGGGCGACTAAACTAGTCGACCCCTCTTGTGATTAAGCCATGTAGATGCCCCACAAACAGCCTTTGTTGTGGTGGTAGCAGATGACATCACATTGTTGATGATCTTATGTATCATGAACAACAAAATGCCATAAAAGGCTATAATTATGTGATTCTTATATAGAAAAGGTGACAGCTACCATGATCAAACTGCTCTGTTTGCTCTCACTTGCACAGATATTAACTCACTTCCCAATGTAACTGTTAATAAAATCAAAAGAAGTATCTCATTTCTCCCCTGATTAGACAGAGCTGTGACACCGTATCAGCTGCTGATTAAATGGCAACAAAGATTGGTGGTATTTAACATTATAAGCAAAAATATTAGGTAGTACTAATATCAATATTTCTCCCAACAATTTTGTAGCAATTCCTTTGTATTTGTGATTGAGAAGTCAGTTCATGTTTACTTACTTGAAAAGAAAGATGTCTCTGCTGTCCTAACAGCAATGTAATTGACCTTTGGACTGGTGTTATTTTATTGAACACACCATGAACTTACAATATATGGTTAATAATTTACACACACATACAACTAGAACTTGTATAGTAGCCTACAAAGAATATAAATGCTGTATTGTAAAAATACCTGATGGCGGTGACAGCTTTGTTTTTATTGTTTCTGTTAAGACTGCTGTTCTCAAACTAAAAACAAACTTTATTTTTGCTTTTCAAAGAGGTAAACATCTAAATCCATAGAAACACAAACACACTGATTCTTTATAGCTCTATGCTGCCCTCTTAAGGATCAGTTTTGCTCGTGGCAACTTATAGCCAGGCCTCATCAAGTACAGTATTGTGTATGTTTATGGTCTTATGAAAAACATAATTGAATTTAAAAAGAAAAAAAATCAGAATATGCTATCATGTCAATCTTATTGTTTCTGTTGAATCTGTGTCAGATAAATTTGATAAAAAAATATATATATATATAGAAAAAAAAACAGAAATATAATCAATGGCAATCCACCTGATAGTCATGTAGACATGTCACTAATAATCACAAATGTTGTCCTCATGGTGGTACTGGAGGAAAAGTCATCGGGATTTATCCTCTGGTAACCATGAATGTCTGCACTTCATTTCAGTTTAGTCCTCTCAGTACTTTTAGAGATATTTCATTCTGGACCAAAATGGTAGGGTTGGGTTGAACCAAGATAATACTCATAAAGGTAAGTCATGTAAAACTTTATTTGCAGAACACATTTACAAACAACTGCAATTGACCAAAGAGCTGAACAGGCATGAAATACCAAAACAGATAAATACAAAAGCAAACAAAAATCAGAACAATAGAAAATAAGAAACATAAAAGAGAAAAAATTGCAGCACAACAGATGATGAAGTCAGTGAAGGTGTCGGGCTCAAATCAATCATATGCCAATGAAAAGAGGTGGGACTTCAGCAGCAGAGTGTCTGTACTCTCAGCAGTTTTATACCAATAGGTAAGCTGTTTCAGAGTTTAGGGCGAGCCACTGCGAAGGCTTGGTTACCAGTGTTTTTGTGTCTACTGCTCGGAGCATCTGATCGGTTGACCTTAGTGTTCTAACTTGAGCATTAAGATACAGTAGTTCTGCTGGATAAGATCAGACCAGACCTTAAGAACAAGTAATAAACTCTTAAAATCAATCCTAAAACAGACAGGGAGCCAGTGGAGGGAGGCCAGTACTGGTGTTACGTGGTCCTATTTTCTTTTAATAGTTATAAGACGAGCAGTAGTGTGTGCTAACTGCAGATGACAAAGTGGCGACTGATCTACACCCACATACAAAGAATTGCAATAGTCTAGCTGAGAGGTAATAAAAGAATGAATAACTAGTCTAGAAAAACTAGACATCATGGCAAGGTTGTTCAAATGTTGTAATCCAGACAAAAATGTTTTGGTTTTGGTAATACTTTTTGTTTTTCTTCCATGGATCACGTAATCCAACTCACTTTTGTCCCGGTTGTTCAAAAAAAACTGGATAGGATCACTCTCGGATTACCAGGACTTAAAGATCCTTAATTAATTATATTGTGTTTGATATTAACAGCTATTTCATTGAATATTCAATTAGCAATAAATTCATTATTTTATCCACAGCCGTGTTTGCCTCACCCACTTTGTAATGATACAGATGCAATAATTCAAGTTGAACATATTGAAGCATTTCTCTAGTATTCATGACATGGGGTAAATTATTCATTTTTATTTCAACATTCAAAAGAAATGTTACACATTTTCTGCACTGTTTGTCTTTATGCCTTTACACGAATGGGTCTAACTTGTAACTGAGGAAGAAACTAAAAAATGACCAGCAGATGGCAGCAAACAATAAGAACATATGCATAGATTTAAGTTTTTAATGATTTCATTTTTATCTACTGTCATCACCCTTAACGTTCTTAATTCATATCCTTCTTTTAAATTAATGTCTTGACTTTAATGAATAAAAAACTCAAGTTCTTTTTCATTTTCTCCCTGTAATCCAGTCTGAATCCAGCCTTCTGCTGGGATCAGGGTAATCCTGATATTCTGGATCAGAGTAATCCTTATCCTATTCAAATGTTTTGAGCAACACAAACTGGAGGTTTGACCCATATAAAAAACTGGATTGAATTACCTGATCTTATCTGATCACAAAATCCTGTTTTTCCTTTGAAAGGTCGGAATAATCCTGCCAGAGTTCTTTTACACAACAGGGCCCTGAGGTGTTAAAAATTGTTAAGATCATTGCCGGGGTTTAAAGAGACAAGCATTGACTACTGGAAGAAAATTAAGAAACAAAGAGTGGCCTCCTATACCCGCACTACTTTTACATATGCTCCTGACAGTCAGTCATACATCACATGGCCATTAGAGGTCCCTGTCAGGTAAATGTAAATTTACCATGGGCTTTTAATGAACAAATGACCAATCTAGTCCTTCTTCTGGTGATGAAAGGCTCCCTTCAGTTAAAGAAATGCTCAGTCAGAAATGCTATTTTACAGCTCATCCTGTCACTGTTTTATAATCCATCAGAAAAACTTACTGCAGCGGTTTAAGATCTATAAAGAGATGAACGAATCCTCTTTTGTGTTTATGTTTCGTAATGGTCTGACTTGAATTTTATTTCAGTTTCTTCTCTCTGGTCTTCTGTCTCCTCCAGTTGTTTTTTGATTTGCTCCCTGAGATTATCTAACACTTTCTTCTTCTCTGTAACCATGGTTACACCACAAAATATTGACCTTAAAAATACGTCTGTTTCCTGGTTACGTTTCTCAAGTTCTTTCTTTGCTGTATCAAGATTTGTATTCTTATATAGGCGCTGTTTTTCATCCCGTTTCTCTTCTGAGTCGTTTTTATCATTATTTACTCCTTTCTGTTTAATTTTCTCTACCACTGACATAATCTCATCCCTTTGAATCTCTGTATCATGCAGTTGTAATGCCAAGTGATGCATCTGGTCATACAGATTATTTTTGTGATCCACTAAGAATTTATGCAGCCCTTCGACATCTTTGCATTCTTCTTCAACTTCCTTTAATTTTACATCAAGCTTTTCCTGATCCAAATCCTTGACTGTCGTGCTCTCAGCCATGACTGGAAGTGTTTCTCTTTTTTCCACATTAAGCGACTGAAGTTCTGTGTCGTTACCTAAAGCTGATGTTGTTGCTTTTGTTTTTTTTCTCATAAAGTTGTTGCCTGTTGTCAAACAAAAACAGAAAGTGTAAAATTGAGGAGTACAGACAGATAGTGATGGCCAAATGAGGCCTAATGAACCACTGTCTTTATTTTCTGAAGCCACTAGATGGCATTGTCTGTTCAACAAAGGTTTGAAAGCACATTTCACTGCCATTCCTTCAGCCTTAATTGTTAAACAAAGAGCGCCATCTGGTGGGTTCAGGAAATTAAGAAAAGTGTTTCATGAGGCTTCATTTGGCCATCACTACAGAGTATGCTGATGAATTACACTTACTATTTTGTTTCTCTCTCCATTTCCATACAACACAGACAAGCGCAAGAATAACAATGGAGACCACAGCCAAGCCGATGGCGACAGGAGCAGCAGAACTACACACAGCATTGAAGACATCATCTGTAATGATAAAACAAAGGAAATCAACAACTCAACAACAGATATTTGACACTAAAACAGTGAGCATATGAATACAGAACTCATTATCTACCTGGAACCTGGATGTGTGTCTCTCTGGTCTGGTTGATGTTCCTCTGTTGGACTCTACAGGTGAAGCTGTTGCTGTGTCTCTTCTCCACAGTCACTCTGCTGCTGACAGTATAGAGGTCATCAGGACCTCTGACTGTCTCTGTAGGTCCAGCAGAGAGGAGCTTTCCCTCACCGTCCAGCCACAACACCTCAGGCTCTGGATACCAGCCTGCAGACTCACACTGTAACACTGCTCCTCTGAGGTCATTGTCAGTCCTCATAAAGCTAACAGTGAGTGAGGAGACTGCACCTGATGAGAGAGGAAAACTGCACATAATAGTTGGAACTAAAAAGTCTTGATTGAAATTATTGGAAATACCAACGATTTGTCACCTCAAGTCATCAAATATCACCACTTTGTCAATGGATTTTCATGTCTGCATATAACCTGCTCAATATCTATCAATGTCTGCTGCTGATTTTCTCAGACAGGACGTCAACAAAATCACGTGGTTAAGTTTAGGCAAGAAAAGGACATGGCAACCAGCAACCAAACATCAACAAAAATGTGTGGTTAGGTCTAGAAAAAACATCATAGTTTGGCTCTACCTTCATACCGGAAGCAAACACTGGCTTCCCGGGTGAAAGTCCGGGGTTTGTAGGACCTATCCACCACCCCTGCTGCCCATGCTATACAGACTTTTCAGCTCCTTATATTACATTGTTACTGACAGCGCTTTTGACCATCCAGCAGTGTATCATACCAACACAACCAGTGCCATCTGGCTGTCTTATGAAATGACACCACGCATCTGCATATCATACTGCCACGATAGGTGCTGTCTGGCCTACTGGCGGTGTATCATACTGCTGCAATAGGTTACTTTGGCAATGCTATCTGACACCAAACTCACTGACAAAGCTGCAGTATTTGACGACTTCAGAATGAGAACAGGGTGGAAATTCAAACCAGCTTGTATAATCCAGGCAGGAAAAGTTAAAAACAAATGCTGTCTCATTCCTTAACAGCTACCAATCAACTGCTCTTCAACAAGTCAGATCTCACTTTCCTGCTGTAGATAAATGTGTTTCCACTGATTAACTGTCACATTGTGGTTCGGCCCTATAAAGCCAAAATAATTTATTCACTCACCAACAACAAGCTCAACAGTAGATTCTCTGCTCAGTGTGGGAATAAAGCACCTGTATTTCCCCTTATCAGAGATTTTTACTTTGCAGAGTTTCAGTGAAATGTCTCCATGTTTCAGTTTGGTGATGGACACTGATGTTCTCCCTACATAGGACTGATGTTTTTTCATCTCTAGTTCCACACCGTCACGCCACACATAAACAAATCTAGGATTCAGGTCAGGTCTCGTCCACTCCACAGTCATGTCAGTGACATTAACAGCAGGTTCCAGATGGCATGGTAACATGATGTCTTGACCGACTGTTGCCACAATTGGCTGTGAAGGACTGACCATCTGAGACTGACCTGAAAGGGGAATAAAAATGTTCAAACACAGATTGATATATTTGATGTCTTTATAATCAGGCTCAACAGCCAGAAAATGTGTCAAGGTTCAGAGGATTAAGAAAATAGGTGGCTTTATCGATTTAAAGTGTATGCGATAGGAAATGAATGTGCCAGGCAATATTTTAATGGAGTTGAGTTTATTGTCTGTAGCTAAAATGTTAAGTTGGATGTCATCTGCATGTAATGACACATAAAGAAACACAATACACAATCAAACCAGAGCTGTGGATGGTGTGTCACAGCAGAGAAAAAAAAATAGGTCCCAGAATCGAACCCTGTGGTATCCCGCATTTCACCAGACAACATAGATTCACATCTGAATATAAAATTTAGTTTTACACTTGGATTATTCATCATTCATCATGAAGACACAAACACAATTCCACATAAATGATCATATTGCTCTGCAACTGCTGGATGTCTAAATGAGAAACTGATTGCTATTGAGTTCATGATATAAACTTATGAGAGGATGATCTTTTAATGTTGTGTTCACAACATTCACAATATTACAAGTCAAATTTCCAACAGGCACAAATAAAAATATTTATCTATCTACAACAGCCGTGCCATCTAGTGTGCCCATGGAAAACACTCTCCATCTTGGGCAGTCTTCTGCTGACTCAGAGGAGAAAGGGATTGTGTAACAGACAGTTTGAGAGACTCCTCCTCATGAGATATAGTGAATTTACTAACCTACTATAAAGCCATGGTTTTGTGGGCAAGCGATTCAAGTGAGTTTGTGTTTGGCCCATTAAATGCTGTATTGTTTGTTTGTTTTTTTCATTTTAAGTCTGTCATAGTCTATAGTTTAAGCAGCAATTTGAGATTTTGAAGTGTTTAGTGATGTCTTTACCTCTGCAAGGACATGTTAGGAAGAGGACGGCAGCAGTGAAATGGAAAATCATTGTGCAGATGGCATCAAGTCGAGGTTTAGAGGGACCTCCATCCATCATGAGAGGCATCCTAGAGTTTTGAAAGTTAAAATTTGAATTTTAATTCATGCAACACATTTGAGGCACCCTGATATCACTTAAACACGATACTCAGATTGACTGGATTTCCAACAGACACCCTCTTTTGGGTTAGTTTAAGCCACACCACAAGTCCTGTGGTGTCAGTCACATGATCATATGACACATATATTCCGTCTTAGAGTTATCAATAGTGAGTGTTAGTCTCAGTCTTTATTCACTAATATGAAGGGCAGGTATCTAACTTTAAAATAAGAACTTCAGAGCACTGTTGATTTTGCATTAATCATATACGTATATTTTTAAGCGTACCTTTTAGCAGTTCAGGCAGTATCCTCCTTGTTGTCAGTGAAGTAGTGTCATGTTCAAAGTCCTCTAAAATCACATGTGCTCTAGTAAACTGTAATCTGTTAATCTTTAATGAGCAGCACTCTGTGTGTATTGTTAGCTACTGTAACTATACATTTCATCAGCCAGAAACATACAGTACTAACTGAAGTTAAGGGCACTGCATGACATTTTCTTCACTTGAAGCACACTCTAAAGGGCACTGCATTGTGTTTTCCTCACTTAAAGTGCTCACTAGAGGGCACTGCATGACATTTTCTTCACTCAAAGAGCACTGCAGAGCAGTAGTTACCAACTGGTGGGTAGCGGTCCAAAAGTGGGGCGCCGGTCCCTTCCAAATGGACCACATGTGAGTAGCAAACATGTCACATTTGTCAAAAACACACTTTATTTTAAAGTACAGTTCATTTCTGGCACAGAGCTTTTATTTGGAAGTGTTGTTTCCTGCTGTGCAGTGAGTGATTAACAGAGAGCTACTTGACAGAGACAGCACACTAGTTCAACATCATGGCCAAATATAAGTATGATACTGAATGTATTAAATTGTGTGGACCCTGAATTAATGACTAAGGAGAAATTTGGACACTGTTTCCGGACCAGTTGGGAACCACTGCACTAGAGGGCACTGCATCAAGTTTCTTTACTTGAAGGGCACTTTAAAGGGCACTTCATCATTTGAAGGGCAGCCTAGAGGACACTTTATGATGTTTTATCTACCACTGGGGCATCGAGGGGGCACTTATGCAATGTTACCCTCACATTTTTTGAACATGTTGACGGAGAGGGGGGCTGTCACCCACCAGTGACCAAGACATTTATGGTTTAAAGAAAATGTCTTGACAGTTATTGGTTAGATTGCCAGGATGTTAGACAGTATGCTAGAACACTCGATGAAATAGTGGTAAAAGGCTCTGAGCAGCTCTGCAGACAGGTTGTTCTTTTTCAGTGTATCTAAGAAGTAGAACAGCTGTTGAGCCTTTTTAACCAGGACAGAGGAGTTGATCATCCATGTGAGGTCCTCACTGATATAAGTCCCCAGAAACTTAAAGCTGGTGACCCTGTCCACTTCCTGTCTGCTGATTGTTAGGGAAGAATGGTCCTCACAGTGTCTCCTGAAGTCAATAATGACGTCTTTTGTCTCTGGGGAGGATATATTTTACAAAACTGTGAACATATATTCATGACTCCCAGATGATGAGTCTTAATGACTTGAATAACACCCTGACCACCCTGTACCAGCACCATGAGGTTAACATTTATGCTTTACTACAGGCAGTCCCATCAGCCTCAGCTGCACTTTGAATTAAATGCCAATTAGCACGTGCTAGCATGCTAACATGCTGAACTAAGATGGCGAATACAGTTAAAATTATGCCCCCTTAACATCAGCATGTCCTTGTTGGCCTTGGCCTTGTTATTGTGAGCATGTTAGCATGCTGACAATAACATTTAGATCAAAACACTTTTGTGCCTATATATGTCTTACTAAACTGCTAGTGTGGGTGGAAACTCTTCTGCAAGCATCGGTGACACTGAAAAAGTAGTATTACTAATTTTAGTTTTGTATAAGTCTTTGTTCTTTGGCTCCACCCACTGAAATTTAATTTAACCATTGAGGTTATTTCTACCACAACAGCAACTCTGTCTCTGAGACAAAGGTTTTCAGTCTTAAGACCAAATTTAGTGTTGCATCAAGAGCAGAAAAAAGCCACACAGGAAGAGGCCAGTTCTCACCTGCTTCCTATACTTCAGTGTGATGTTCAGTCAGTCAGCAGCAAGACAACATGGAGGTCACAGCTCTCTGCATCACACTGTGTGAGTACTGAGTCTGTTTGATTAAAACTAAATGAGAAAGAAGTTCAGAAATTCTGTGATCTCTTAATGTTTCTGTATCAGTTATGAGATTTAACAGATAATACGTAGACTGTGAGGAGCAGCTGTAGGCAAAAAGCATATGGACTTCATAAGCATGTCTCTGTATGTTTAGCTGTTCTTCTTTGTCTCCTCAGTGATGACTGTGTTGTTCCTGCTGTGTGCACGTGATCAGAAAGTTGGTAAGAACCAGTTAGATGTTCCTTTATGTTTTTAAATCATCAACTGTTGTAACGATACAGTTTCTGCTGGGAGGTGTTTGTGGTAGAGTATGAAAGAAAAGGAGGAAAATATGTTCTGCTGTGACTTTTGATGTTATTTGAGAACAAATCTCTCTTTTTTTGTTTTCAGATTCAGCAGTTCTTCATATTGAACCAAACAGACTGCAGTTCTTTGAATATGAAACTGTAACTTTCCACTGTGAGGGGCTCAAAGAGGAGGAGCTCTCATGTAAATCTTCTAGCAGGCTGACATCAACAGGGTCATCCTGTGCCATTAAAAATATTTTTCTGGAAGACAGTGGAGAGTACTGGTGTGAGGGTAAAGGTGGGAAGAGGAGCAACAGCGTCAACATCACTGTCATTAGTAGGTTTGCATTAAGACAACATGATTTTGTCATGAAATAATCTTGGGTTTAGCATGAAATAAATATCAAACACATGTTGTTCAGATGGTTCAGTAATCCTGGAGAGTCCTGTCCTCCCTGTGGAAGAAGGCAACAACGTGACTCTGACCTGCAGGAAGAAGATGTCTTCTTTACAACTGACAGCTGGTTTCTAAAAAGATGGCATCCTCATCAGGAGCAGCTCTACAGGAGAGATGACCATCCACAGTGTTTCCAAGTCTGATGAAGGACTCTACAAGTGTCACATCTCTGGAGCTGGAGGATCACCAGAGAGCTGGATGGCTGTCAGAGGTGAGACTATGAAAGGTTATTAAACCAATTCAAATTGTATTTTGACGTTATTACAACTATTTGATGTTTGGCAGATGAATGGAGTGTGTTTGTTTTAAAGGAGGTAGAATCTAGTTAAAGCAGCTTCAGGGGACTTTTGGTCCTTGTAGTTGTTCCTTGTTCAAAACAAATTCATCCACCAGCCAGATTAAGATCGTTATGACATGAGGCAATTGTGATAATGGAAAATCACTGCTTTTGTTGCCAGGGGCCACCAATATTGACAGATTGTGTGTTATATTTCAAGGAAGCATTGTGCATCCGGCCAATCTGCATGAAATTAAATCATAAAATGATTATTAGATCACATGTAACACACTAAGTCACCCCAGTGTCTCATGACATCTTTGCAGCACTTCACACAGAGACTAATCCTCCCTCGGATCACACGTTCCTCATTTTAAGAACCATAATCCCTCTTGTGTTGATGGCCCCGCTGCTGCTGCTGGTGGGACTTCTTCACTGTGGGAAACTCGGAGGTAAACAACAATAACTCATGTCCACTCAGCGGTGAAATTAACTGCCAAAAGAAAGAATACAATGGGGTAAATGAAAAGTACAGAGTATATTAAAGGTGGTTGTGTTGTTAAGATGCTGATGCAGTAAACATCTTTGCTTGATCTGAGTGCTCAACAACCTTCTTCTTCATCTTTACAAATCTTATTTTATACATTTGATCTAATGTCTTGTTTGTGTGCAGTGCATATTGTGCTAACGAGTGGTCATAAAGTACTTTTTGCTTCAGCAATGAACAGCCCAGTCTCCAGAAGACAATGTTGGCTCTGTACATTCCTGCAAACCACAAATATGTTACACTTGCATGTTTCATTGGTATCATATCAACATTTTTAAAACGACATTGTAGATAAGCTGACTTTGTCATGTGGATGTGGAGGGGATGGTGGAGACCACTGTTCAAGACCAACAAACAACAAAACCTGGTTATATTTTCGCAACTCATTGCTGTTTTTCCAGTGAGGATAGTGCCAATGAGGAGCACTTGTTTTTTTTTAAAAATAAGACATTGACAGCTTCTCCAGCAAGGATTGTGCCACTAGAGCTGGGTATTCATAAAGAAACTTTGAATTTCATTGTATCTGCTACATAATAATGTACAAATGTAACATCTGTGGTTTGCAGATATGTGCAGTGTTAACTTTTTTCTGCCGATTGAGTTGAATAAAGCACAATTTAGAAAAGGAAATTAACAGTATGTTGATGGATAATGTTAATTTAATCTCCTGCTGCTCTATGACGTGTTTTTCAGTGACTGACTGATACATTTCTGTTGTTTCTAAGGGTCCAGGAGCAGATGTGTCATGTGCTGTGACTGTACCAAGACTTGAAGATTCTCAGAAATCAAGTAAGGAAATACAAACAGGGGGCAGATTTTTTTTTTGTTTTGTTTTTTTCACGTCTGTCTACGTTTAACAATCCACCTTCATGACACCCTTCCAGATTCACCACGGCGTCTCCACACCTCTATATGAAATGTGTAATGCTGTAAAATGCTTTAAAATGCACCAAGTCTCAATCCTGCTTGTATTTTCCACCAGCAAAAAGAAACAAAACTGAAACTGTATGATGACTGTATTGCTATTTGGATTAAAAAGAAAAAGAGGACCACCTAAAAAAAACATGTATATGTATTACCTGACAACTGAAATGGATGACAATGCTTCTTTCCGTCAGTGCAAACCATTACCATCATGGAATGAACAAACCTATAGTGTCTTATCTGGCTTATAACATGGCCACTTGCCAACATGGTGCCATTAATTCTATTTTAATTATTATGCAGGGACAGTGCTCAGTCAAAAGTTATTGCGCCAGAGTTAGCTAGCAGCTATTTTGCATCTGTTGTTGCTGGGCAGGTAAATACATAAATAAACAAATAAAACAGAGCAACAAATACATCACATTAAAAAGCACAAAACACTTATACTACTTATATTCTATGTTTTGCGATATTTATGTGTGTGTACGCCAAGAGTGCTCAGGCGAGGTCAGGTCAGGTTTTGTTAAAAAATATCAAGGTCTGGCTCTTCATTCATATGGGAGGTGATCACCAGACTCCTGGGTGAAAGTCTGTCCATCATCCCCAGTGTTTTCAACTTGACATCATCCAGCAGCATATCAAACTCCCGCGGCATATCATACTGCCACAATAAGTGCTGTCAGTCCGTGTTATGAACTAATGCTGCCCGTCCACATATTATACTGCCGCAACTGGTGCTGTCCGGCCAACTGGTGGCATATCATAACACTGCGAAAGGTTATGTCTGGCCCCATTAAAAACTGACACCACCCAATAACCACAAAAGTTGACTTTTGGCCTTAGTGTTAATAATAACAATAAAGACATTCTATTCTATTCTATTCTATTCTATTCCATTCTAATAATAATTGTACATTTTATTTATATGGCGCCTTTGATGGCACTCAAGGTCGCCGTACAACAATCAAAAAATACAGGTAATACAATTAAAATACATCTAAAATACAACAGAAAAACAGTGCAAAGTTTGCAGCAGAACATTAAAAGACAGAGGAAACATTAACACTCATACGCCTGCCTAAACAGGTAGGTTTTGAGGTGGGACTTGAAAACTAAAATAGTGTCAATGTTCAGTCAGGTTGATGGAGGAGGCAGACCTGAGAGCCCTGGTGGGGGTATTGATGTGTAGGAGGGCAGAGAGGTATGAGGGAGCGAGGTTATGGATGGCCTTAAATGTATGGAGGAGGATTTTATAGTTAATACGGTGTTTGATGGGAAGCCAGTGGAGCTGATGTAGAACGAGGGTGATGTGACTGATGGATGGTGTTCTGGTGATGATACGGGCAGCAGCGTTCTGGACCAGTTGAAGTTTATGGAGGAGTTTGTGTGGGAGACCAGAGAGAAGGGAACTGCAGTAATCCAGGCGGGAAGTGACCAGAGAATGAACCAGGATTGCGGCGCTGTTGGGAGTGAGTGAAGGGCGGAGGCGGTTGATGTTGCGGGGGTGGAAGTAGGCGGACCAGATGGTGTTGTTGATGTGGGTGTGGAATGATAGGGTGCTGTCGAGGACGACACCCAGACTCTTAACCTGAGGGGAAGGGGAAACCGAGGAGTTGTCTGTGGTGAGGGTGAAACTGGGATGTTTGGTGAGGGTGGACTTTGAGCCAATGAGGACTACCTCAGCTTTATCAGTATTGAGTTTGAGGAAATTTGAGGAGAACCAGACTTTGATTTCCTGCAGGCAGGCACAGAGGCAGGATGGCAGGCAGGTGGAAGTTGGTTTGGAGGAAATGTAGAGCTGGGTGTCGTCCGCGTACCAGTGGAAATGGATATTATGTTTACGGAATATCAGTCCAAGTGGAAGGAGGTAAATAATAAATAGGATAGGGCCAAAGACAGAGCCCTGGGGAACACCGGAGGAGAGGGGGGATGGATGGGATGTGTAAGATTTCAACTGGATGAACTGAGTACGGCCAGAGAGATATGAGTGAAACCAGTCTAGGGGTGTGTCAGTTATATCAATGGAAGCTAGTCTGTCAAGGAGGATGGAGTGTGATATGGTGTCGACTCAAGTCAAAGAGGATGAGGATGGGTAATAGTCCGGAATCAGCTGCCATTAGGAGGTCATTTGTGATTTTTAAGGAGGGCCATGTCTGTGCTGTGGCGGGGGCGAAAACCGGACTAGAACTGTTCGTAGAGGTTATTGTTGGAGAGATGAGCCTGAACCTGTGATGCCACTGCTTTTTCCAGTATTTTAGAGAGAAATGGCAGGTTGGAGATGTTCACAAATTGTAACTGACAGTTCTACATAGTCATGATTTCACTTCCTCACTTCAACCAAATATTTAAGCCTGTCTTTCATTGCTGCTGTACCCAGTCACCCCGAGCAGAAGCTCTCGTCCCACGGGCACTACTGGGTTAGACTGAGCATCCTCCAGGAGGATGTGGGTACAAGATCATGACTAATTTTAAACATCAATCAACCATTTATTTGTCACATGGAATTAGACAAGGTACAGTGAAATGTGATACCTTCAGCTCCTTTAACTTGTTCACTGTCATCTTCTGACATTGTTGGCTGCTGCTTTATAATTGTCCATGAATCCACATGGCTTTGTGATCCATAGTTTCTGGTTGAATGATTTAACTGCCCCCACATCCCAACCCCAACAAGAGAACTGCATGGTCATTCCTCTTGAACACAGGCAGTGCCGCTCTGCAGCCACCTCTAAACGGTGTATAGCAGTGATCTACAGCAGGAACAGGACAGCAGCTCACATTCACACTGTCAGACCAATCACAGTGAAGCACAGCGCCATCTAGGATTTAGCCAAGTTTCAGTGAATCGAGGGATATTGCAGTTCATGCAGTTTATTGTCCAACGCCTGCATAATGGCTAGGAGGATGCTAATTTGGTCGTGTCCATCCTCTCTATTGTGTAGACTACTTTTCCTTCAAGTTAACTGATGTTTACATTTGAAAACCTCGACCTGGCTAGCTAGCAGATGAGGGAGGAGGAGAGTTTACAGACTAGTGAGTTGATTTACTCATTCTGATGGGTGATTCACAGTCACACACCACCACCTTCCAAAGCCAACCACAAAAAGCACTACCAACACTTGCAAAAGAGACAAAGGAGCATCAGTTTAGCACAGATTTAGCAGAGCCGACAGAGCAGCAACTGGAAATGTTAGCAAGCATGTGTAACAGATGTAGCTAGGCACGTATGGGGACCGACACTGGGACTGGTTTTCAACATTTATTTTGGTCTGCAGAAGACACAAATCACATAATTTGCCCTCTGTTCCACTGTCTGCACCTCAGCTCCCTCAGCAATGCGAAACAGCACTGTGAGGGACAGAGAAGGGGGAGCTACGGAAACCCAGGAGGTACAGGAGCCATGAAGGGCAAAAAAGCAGTTTCCACAGGAAAATTAAAATAACCACAAATAAAAACAACTAATTGAGATAAAATTCACAAATACCCAATAAAATATTCAAATAAAATAATTACAAATTCTCAAATATAGATTGGAAATATGTATTGAGAATTAAGTGCGTTTTTTAACTCTGTTACACATGCATTAGAATAAAATGAGAAATTATTCAAACTGGGGGAAATATGTTGCTCAGGATATTACAGTGATGATGATCCCTTTGCTTTTTATTTGTAATTTTTACGTGTTAATAGAGTGATTACACAGGCCTGAGTGTGGTCACATATAATAAAGTTCCTGATTCTCAGAGTTGAGCTCCTTCTCATATGTAAGTCTTTGTTCTTTGGCTCCACCCACTGATATTTAACTTAACCACTGAGGTTATTTCTACCACGACAGCAATTCTGTCTCTGAGACAAAGGTTATTAGTCTTAAGACCAAATTTAGTGTTGCATCAAGAGCAGAAAAAAAGCCACACAGGAAGAGGCCAGTTCTCACCTGCTTCCTATACTTCAGTGTGATGTTCAGTCAGTCAGCAGCAAGACAACATGGAGGTCACAGCTCTCTGCATCACACTGTGTGAGTACTGAGTCTGTTTGATTAAAACTAAATGAGAAAGAAGTTCAGAAATTCTGTGATCTCTTAATGTTTCTGTATCAGTTATGAGATTTAACAGATAATACGTAGACTGTGAGGAGCAGCTGTAGGCAAAAAGCATATGGACTTCATAAGCATGTCTCTGTATGTTTAGCTGTTCTTCTTTGTCTCCTCAGTGATGACTGTGTTGTTCCTGCTGTGTGCACGTGATCAGAAAGTTGGTAAGAACCAGTTAGATGTTCCTTTATGTTTTTAAATCATCAACTGTTGTAACGATACAGTTTCTGCTGGGAGGTGTTTGTGGTAGAGTATGAAAGAAAAGGAGGAAAATATGTTCTGCTGTGACTTTGGTGAGCTGACATTCAATGTATAAGACTTTTTGAAAAAGATAGGATGTTTCCATTACTTTTTATGTGCAGACACATTCATTTGATTTATTTTGGTTCTATTACTGGAGAACTATATTCCAGTAGTTAAGATGTGATTTGAGAGCAAATCTCTTCTTTTTGTTTTCAGATTCAGCAGTTCTTCATATTGAACCAAACAGACTGCAGTTCTTTGAATATGAAAATGTAACTTTCCACTGTGAGGGGCTCAAAGAGGAGGAGCTCTCATGTAAATCTTCTAGCAGGCTGCCATCATCAGGGTCATCCTGTGCCATTAGAAATGCTTTTCTGGAAGACAGTGGAGAGTACTGGTGTGAGGGTAAAGGGGGGAAGAAGAGCAACAGCGTCAACATCACTGTCACTGGTACGTTTGAATTAGCAGCATTTCTCAAACCTCTCCTGGAGTGCCCCATGTCCTTCATGTTTTAGATCTCTCCCTGCCCCAACACTGCTGATTCAAATGATCAACTCATTGTGAAGTCCTGAAGCTGCTTGAAAACAAGCTCATCATTAAAATCAGCTGTGTTGGAGCAGGGAGGCCCTATTTAGACCTGGTACTAACATCCGTGTCAGTGATCCAGACACTCGTGGACAGCCAAGACACAATGCTGGTCACACCTGTCCCTTTCATGCATCTCCAGATTCACATTTTGTCCAGATTTTGTCGCTGCCCTGCTCACCATGCTGTCTACACTTTTGCTAGTTGCTCTATACAGTAGCATGCTTGCTACTCACGTTAGTGGTTGTGTCAGTACAGCTGGAAAAATCGCTGTCAGCAGAACTCAAAATGTCTCCTCCCACAAGGCAAAATCAGGGATAACATGCTGTTCTCACAAATTTATCACAAGTTTTCCTACAAAATGCAGTGCACCCAAATTCTTGCATATCACATGAATTTTGAAACGCTGCGATCGTGTGACCAATGTGCTGATAGCAGTAAACAAGGAAGCAGTCCTGAGTGCTTGTAAGGAGGGAGGTTGGGTTGGTCGATGGGTCACAAAAACATGACAATCTGCCCGGAACCCTGGAGACCTGTGTTTGCATCTGTGTGAATTTTGAGTCATATTTAGATACGTCCTCACCATGTTTCTTTTCTTAAACCTAACCATGGTAATTTTTATTGCCCAAGACTAACCTACATAACTTTACATTAATTACATAACTGTACATCAAGGTTGTAACGTCATTCATGGGGCGCAAATTCATAGGATATCATACACACTGTTGTACATATATTTTTCAGGGGATATCATGAACTGCTCTGTGACAGTATGTTAAGGATGGTCACGCAACACTTTGTTTAACTTAACATTAGATGGGTAAGTTGTAGAGCATTGGCGCAATGTCACTAAAAGAACCACCACATCCTGCACCAATGGCGCAGTCCTTGTTAGGGATGCATCAGGACAGCGTTAGTGTTTATACTACATAAGATATGTGGTCAAATTCAATTCAATTCAATTTTATTTATAAAGCCCAATATCACAAATCACAATTTGCCTCACAGGGCTTTACAGCATACGACATCCCTCTGTCCTTATGACCCTCACAGCGGATAAGGAAAAACTCCCCAAAAAACCCCTTTAACGGGGAAAAAAAACGGTAGAAACCTCAGGAAGAGCAACTGAGGAGGGATCCCTCTTCCAGGACGGACAGACGTGCAATAGATGTCGTACAGAACAGATCAACATGATAAATTAACAGTAATCCGTATGACACAATGAGACAGAAAGAGAGA